CAGGTGTGCGTTCATTTCCAGACCTGAAGGGCAGCTAGGGGCCATAGTCTCAGTGGTTCCACCAGACTCCGTCGGGCCAGCAAACCTGGTCTCCTCCCCCTTTTTTTTTTCCAAATGATTTTGAGTTTTGTTCCACATTGTTCTCCCTGTCTATCCAGGATCTCCTACATAGATCCTCTTGCAAGTGGTTGATAGTAGTAGCAGGACACCATCTAGTACTTCTGGTCTCATAGTCGTATAGGCTGCAGATCAGATGGTGTAACAGTTGCTAGAACTAATTGTTTCCATGAATTTTTGGTTTACTTCATTCTTCTTGGCTCTGGATGAGGAGAGACCCATCATTGCATCTAGATGGCAGCTTGCAAGCTTTTAAGATCCTAGTCGCTACTCGCCACAGTAGGAGGTGGAACAATGTTTTGTATAGTATGTTATGCCAATTGAGCTTGATGTCCTCTGCAACTATGGTCCCGAGCCCACAGGTTCAACTACTAGGTCCCTCTGGGTAGCTGCCTGTGACCAAGCAGTGACTACAACCTTGCCCCTTGTCAGCTCCATTTTACATCTGGGTATTCAGATCATACACATAAAGTTATAGGACCAGTGTCTGCCAACCCTATACATGTTCTTGGGTGCACTCCCCACTTCATAGACATAGCTAATAGTTCAGCCTTTCCACCCATCTATCCACCCATATACCCGTGTTTGCCTTCACTGACCATGTCGTACTATATGTGCAAAAGGGTTCATCTTTGTTGTCTGTACTTCCCACGTACCTCTCTATGTCTTTCTCTTCCTCAATGCCACTATATTGATCACTCACATTTGGTACATTGCCTTTCTTTTCACCCAAATCAAAACTTTTTTTTTTTTTTTTAATTGTGATTTGGGTGAAGATTTACAGAACAAATTCACTTTCCATACAGCAGTTCACATACACTTTGTCTCATGACATTGACCACAGTTTACCACAATGCAACAGCTCCCCTCCACTTCCTCCCCATAGTTACCTCTTCCCAGTGTCCATCCCTCCATGCACTCCTGCCCCCTAAGCTGTCTCCCTGTGCATAAGCAGTAGGGCACACTTTTATGGGGTCTGGGTTCTGTTCCTTTTACTATTCTTTAATGGATCCTGACTCATTTCTACAATTCTCCCCTAAAATATGAATTTTCTACTAAATACTGAAGTAGAGATTTGAACTGGTTCATTGTGGTTCAACCTACTACTGCGAATTTATAGATATACTTAATCAGAGTCTATATTTTAACAAAATCCCCAGTTAATTCTTAAGTTTAAGAATCTTAGGTTTAAGGATCTTATTTTAGTGTAGATTCTGATTGTATATCTGGAGGTGGAAATGCAAATTTGCCGCAGAGGGTCAAACAGGAATGAACAGGTTCGAAGTCCTGTACTAAAGAAAGCATGATTTGTAAGAATGCTAAAATCACCCTCAGTCATCATTTATATGTGTTTAGGAGGGACCAGAATTGTGTTTCTGTGTATCTTAGGTTGAAACATTTTAATGAGCTATAAGTCTTTTTATTCTTTTCTTTTTAGGTCCCCAAACTGAGGAAATGATGTCTGTTACCATGCATTCTATCCATAAAGTAAGAGTGAAAGCTCTAAAGCGTGTGTGGAGAAATATAGGTTCTTTTGAGACTAATATATGGGAACCAATTGAAGAAGAGAAAACAGATGACACCCCAGTTTTTGACAGGTTTTCACTGGGGACTAGTTTGAGTAGGAGTACACTCACAGAACTGGGGATTACTCTGGTTCACAGTGATGCAGATCCAGCAGATACTTTCTCTGAAGTTTCGTCAGTGGAAGAAAAAAGCAGGATATGTTTCTATCAAAGGTAAAACTCAATAGCTAGCTAGCATTCACTTCCTTTGGAAAAAAAATTTTTTTAATATTTTCATGTAAATGATAAGCTGATTACTAGTACCAGCAACCCCCATTGACTGTGCTATTAATAATATGAATGATAAATTATCTACTACTCTCTCTGCTCACAAGGATATTAGGAGTATAAAAGGAGACTGTACTTTTGAAAATCTTAAGTATTGAGATAGGAAATAATTTTGCCATCTGAGATTATAAAATCAAATAAATAGATAAGTTCTAGAAGTCTTTTAATACTCTTTAGACATAAGTAGTTTGGGATTATTGGGTTAACCATGTCATTTTTAAGGATTTCATCTTTGAAACTTGTCCATAAATTCTTGCTTATCATCTCTGTTACTGATATTTTTATGTTATAATTACAGTATCTACAATGCAGTTTATTCTTCTCATGACTAAAAGATTGTATAGTCAACCATGATCTTAAATGAAATAATCCCAACTACTCCAGCCATCTACTAAACCATATATAATAGCATTAGAAATGTTGTGCTTGTTTCACAAAACAACAGTGCTTCAATCTTAGCACAGGTTTACCCTGAAGGCTGCTTATTGTACATTCTAAGTAAGAAGAGATATGATGTCTTTAACCTAGAAGCCTAATAGGAAACTTTCATTTCTTTCCTTGAGGGACTCTGAGGCAGGTCTGTGTTCTGCCCTAAGGAATATGTTGAAAGGAAACAAATTTAAAAGTAATTTGGGTCATCAGTTAAGTCCTGAAAGTTTAATAGCAGCTGAAGGTATTTGGAAAACGTTTTCAATGTTTTGGTGAAAAACAATCCTGAGAGTGTTCTTGTTTCAAATGGTATAAGGGTGGCTGAAAGATGCAGATGAGAGAGAGAAACAACAAACGCAGAACAAAAGTGTGTATTGGTGGTGTGTTTTCATTAACTTTGTATTTGTGTCTTTAAGAAAATTTTCTTCAGAACATCATCATGTTCCTTTATAGTGAAATATCCATGAACACATGCAAATTTTGCCTTTTGATACTAAGATTTTTTGGGGGGGTCATAGAATGCGGACTCTAGAAAATAGCATTTATTCTAACACCTCATTTACTTATTTTTACAGTTTTATTATCGGTAGTAAGAATATACACAGCAGAACATACACCAATTCACCAATTTCTACATGTACAATTCAGTGACAGTGGTTACATTTTTCAAAGTGTGTAACCATTCTCACTGTCATTTTCCAAATTATTCCTCCACCATTAACATAAACTCACTGCCCCCTAAGCTTTTATCTAACCATTTGAGTTGCTGTTGTCAGTTTAATCCCATATAGACAATTCTTTAAAAGAGTACAATACACAAAGCAAACAATTTTGCTAGTTAAGGCAAACTATTTGGTTTAAAGAAGACTTCAGATGTTAATGGCTTAATTTTGAATTTAAATATTATCTCAGGGCAATTTTTTTCACTGGGGCATGGGAGGGGTGTTACCCAGCCTCAATGGCTCCAGGAAGTCTGGCTTCCATGAGAATTTGAAATTCTGTTCTGCGTTTCCTATTTTGATCAGGATTCTTCTATAAAATCTTTGATCAAAATATTCAGTGATGATAGCTAGGCACATCCAATTCTTTTGGTCTCATAACATAGGAGAGAATTGTTTACGGGGGCAATTAGCCATGCATTCCATTTCCTCCTCCTGTTCCTTCTCTTGTTCCTCTGCTGCTTCAGGTGGATAGAACCCAACTGTTGTATGTTGGATGGCAACTTGCAGGCTTTTAAAACACCAGGCACTATGTGCTGCAGTAGGAGGTAGAACAGAGTACTAAGAATGATATTAAGCCAATTAAGGTGTTTCGGTTACCTAGTGCTGATCTGAGAGGAATATATCACAGGTGGATGGCTTTAACAAACAGGAGTTTATTCTCTTATAGTTTGGGAGGCTAGAAATCTGAGTTTAAAGTGCCAGAGTCTAGGGGCTAGGTGAAAACCCCTTGACTTTGGGTTTCAGCTCTGCCTCTTGCTCCCTGCCCACTGAAGCTGGAGGCTTTCTTCACTCAGGCTGGCTAATGAGGCTGACAAACCCACAGTCCTGATATTACCAAACTACACGGTAGGCCATTGATTCAGGTCCAGAGACAGTCCCAAGATTTGGCAGGAAACATGGCAGGCTGCTAAATGAAGACTCAGCTACATGCAGGGCCCAAGTGTGCCAAAAAGCTCCAGATCATTCCTAGAACTTCTCCTTATATACTGAGAGCAGATCACATCACTAGCAGCTACTCAGCTGCTAACAGTAGAGTCCACTATGGGGTTGATTATCAGTCTTACCATGAGGAATACTACATCCAGCTGCCCAGCCACTCAAAACCAGGCCCAGCCAAGTTGACACATAACCCTGCTACAATTGGGATGCTGCATGAACCATGACCTTAAACCTCCAAATCAAGAAAACAAATCCCATGAGGTATTTGATTGTGCATTAGCAGCATTAGCAGATGCTGTCCCCCCCCCCCCGTTACTGTTGCTGTAAAAATACATATCACACAACATTTGCCAATTCACCTTTTTTGAAGTGTACAGTTTAGTGACATCAATTACATTAATAAATTGTATAACCCCAATCCCTCATTTAAAAGATAATAGAGGCACAAAAAATGATACATGATTTAATCATTGGAGAGAAAATTTATTGTCTGTTCAAAGATGAATTTTAGTGATTAAATGATTTTTAATTATTTTGTCTTTTTCAATTTTTTCCTACTACAGAAATGCCCCAAATCACTTGGAATTAACATTGATTGGTAAACCCAATGAAGAAAAGAAAGTATATAATCAGAAAGAAAACTCTAAAAGAAAAGATCATGAAAAGTCATCACAAAATACAGTTCCTGTAATAGGTGTTTGGGAATTTGAACGTGATGATGATGAATATATTAAATTCCTTGATCTCTTCTTGAGTTATGTTCTTGAAAGAGATCTACTTAGTTCCAGTGATCCAGGTATTCCGTTTTTAACCAGTTTTTCTTCACATCTTAGAGAACACGAACTTAATTCTTTAGTTTTTGATGTGCATACAACATTAAAACGACGTCAGGGTAAAACCAAAAGCCAGAACGTTTTTAGAGCTGGCTCTTGCTTTGTTGTTGCTCCTGAGTCATATGAATCTGAAAACTCCTCCTCTTTAAACAATGATTGTGCCGTACGTTTGGAAAACCAGACACTTTCTACTACAGTAGTGGTTAATCAAGGCATCAGGGCTCTTGCCAAGAATCCTTTGAATGAAGTCAGTAAAAATGAAATGAAGAGTGGATTGTTTAGTTTAAAACAAAACTCAGTTTACAGAATGCAGAATGATAACCGAGAGAAGCCTTTAGTCCACAGATTGTCTACTCACATTATTTGGACTCCCAATTCCATTAAAACTAGTAGATGTATTTTCAAAGCAATTCGAAGCGATGATCTTAATCCTCAAGAAGATCTTCCACTGGCACTAAGTAACACATTTGACAGTATAGGACGGCTGCTGGAATGGATGGTAAGATGGTCTGAAAGAAGACTGCTCTGTGATTCTAGTATCATTGAATCATCCTGGGAATATAGTCCAGTAATTCGTGTAAAGACTTCTGCAGCTGCCATTCTTACATCATTATGGCTTTTAGGACAACCCTGTTTTGCTACAAATAAAGCAAAAAATGCCATTATGAAGGTAAGTGCATGAATTCTTTATTATATACAAATGAAATTTCTTATTTATTTATTTTTATTTTTACTTTTGCAGTGTTTCCTCCTCTCCCCTGCAACCCCTGGTAACCAAAAAAGAAAGTTCCCTTCCATATATAAACCTTTCCTTGACTTTTTGCAATAATGAACTAATACAGTATTTGTCCTTCTGTGATTGACTTATTTCACTCAGCATAATGTCCTCCAAGTTCATCCATGTTATGCAGTGTTTTGCAGATTCTACATTATTTAGTGTTACGACTATTCTGTTCTATTTATGTACCACAGTATGGTTATTCATTCTTCTGTTGATGGGCACCTAGGTTGTTTCCATCTTTTTGCTATTGCAAGTAGTGCTGCGCTGAACATGGGTGTGCATATATCTGTTTTTGTCCTGGCTTTCACTTCTTTAGGATATATACCTAGTAATAGGATTGCTGGATCAAATGGTATTTCTAATTCCAACTTTTTTTTTTTTAAATTGTGATATGGGTGAAGATTTACAGAGCAAATTCACTTTCCATACAGCAGTTCATATACACTGTCTCATGACATTGACCACAGTTTACCACAATGCAACAGCTCCCCTCCCACCTCCTCCTCACAGTTACCTCTTCCCAGTGTCCATCCCTCCATGGGCTCCTGTCCCCTGAGCTGTCTCCCTGTGCATAAGCAGCCCTTCTTTCTCCCATGATTGTTCTCTCCAAGGAGTGTACCTACTTGAGGTAAATGTTCAACTCATATGCCTATCTTTTGTTTGGCTGGAAACCACAGGTGTGGGTTCGATTCCAGATCCAAAAGGCAGCTAGGGGCCATAGTCTCAGTGGTTCCTTCTGGCTCTGTTGGACCAGCAAACCTGGTCCCCTCCTTTTTTTTCCTCCAGTGATTTTAAGTTTTGTTCCACATTGTTCTTCCTCTCTATCAAGGATCTCCTACATAGATCTCCTTTCAAGTGGATGACAGTGGTGGCTGGGCACCATCTAGTTCTTCTGGTCTCATAGTCATATAGGCTGCAGATCAGAAGGTGTACCAGTCGCTAGGACTAATTGTTTCCCTGAATTTTGGTTTTCTTCATTCTTCTTTGCTCTGGATGAGGAGAGACCCATACCAACTTTCTTTTTATAGTAAATTTAAATATATTGTTTTATCAGTAATTATAAAATAGACAGTTGCCATCCAGGAGTAATAAAAGCACAAGACCCACATTTACCCACTCTGATGGAAATGGAAACAACACTTGCACAGAAATACATCACATTTCTCTCAAGAATCATGTTTCCTTTGTAGCTCCTCAAACCACTTGTTAATTGCAATTTATATATTTATTTTTATTTTTTTTATTGTGCTTTAGGTGCAAGTTTACGAACAGAGTTTGTTTTACATTCAACATTTCATGTACATTTAGTTGCACTCCCCAATTACCATCCCCAACCCTAACCCAGTCTCCTCCCCTCCCTGCCCCATAACCACCCCGTTCTGTGCCCTTTGTAGTTATGCACTCCTGTGCATCCTGCATTTTCTCCATGCGAATGTTGCCCCTCTGGTGCCCCATGGTCGATTGTGCCAAGGGATGCATCTCCATACAGTATGTGGGTGTATTACCCTGGGTTGAGTGGTCTTGCTTTTATTATTTAATATTTTGAAAAGGTGGAGCTGGTGTATTTTATTTTTGTGGTTATTAATTCAGGTATGCTGGGTTGCTCTGCAGTTTTCTTTGTAATCATGGAATCACTGTATGGAATGTGGATGCAGGTCTCTGTCATGAAGGTAGTTTAGGATTTGAGCTGGCAGGTGTTATGGTGGCTGAATCTGATTTTTCTATTGGATGAGGCAGGGGAGAGGTGGGGACAAGAGGAAGAAAAGAGAAAAAAAAAGCTCCCAGGTACTAGGAGCCATTTCTAGAGCTTTGAGCAGGCTGCTAATGATGACATTATACTATTACTCACAGACTGCTAGCTGAAGTTCAGCAAAGACTCCAGCTGTTAAGGGGCCACCATTTTCCTTCAGGTCCAGACAGCCACAAAAACCCCACTCTCCAGGCCCCTCCATACCAAAAAGCTGACCTAGGATAACTGCCCAATCCATGACAGGTGTTTGTCCCAGGACCTGCCCACTTGTGGCCTAATTCTCCTCTCTGCTCCCACTTTAGCAGCACCTGGAGCCAGGGGGTCCCTGCTTCCTCCCAGCGGTCCCAAGGTTACCAGTAATACAAGTAGGTGCTGAAGGCAGATCTGTGGAGCAGCCCCCAGTCTTCTGGTGCGGTACATTCTCTCCCACTGCCCCATGGAGCCCTCCAATGCCCTGTCTCACCTGCCTGTCAGTGCTCCACAGGGCAGGTTCACCTGTTGTTTTTTTTTTTTTTTGCCCCTGGATAATTGCACTGCCCCCTTCTCCCTTTTAATCCCACTCCCCTGAGTTGGTGTACTCTGATTTAATAAACTGTTCAGAGCACCAGAATCCCCGCTTCAAACTGCTTCACTAAGATGGTAGAGGGAACTAGCATGTGTGCTACAAGAGAGACACCATTTTCGATCTAATTCCCACTTTCTTAAAAATCACCATACTGCTTTTCACAGTGGTTGTATCATTTTATAGTCCCACTAGCAGTGTATGAGAGTCCCTATCTCTCCACATCCTCGCCAGCATTTGTTATTTTCTGTCTTGTTGAACTTTGCTATTAGTGCTGGGGCCAGATGGTATCTTATTGTTGTTTTGATTTGCATCTCTCTAATGGCTAATGATTGTGAACATATTTTCATTTGTGTGGTAGTTAAATTTATATGTGAACTTGGCTGGGCCTGGTTGAGTGGCTGGGCAGCTGGTGGTAGTTATTCCCCATGATGAGACTGGTAATCAACTCCATGGTGGGATCTACCACAAACATCTGAGTAGCTGCCTTTGGAATGTGGTCTCCTTCCTGTATATAAGGAGAAGCCTTGGGGATATTCTCTAGCATATGGCACGCTTGGACTCTGCATGTGGCTGTGTCATGGTTCAGCATTCTGCCATGCCCTGCCAACCTTGGGACTTACAATGGACTTGAATTAATGGCCTGCCGTGTGGTTTGGTAACATCGGGACTGTACCTTTTTTTGTTGACCTTGGGCTTGTTAGCTTCAGCAGCCAGTAGCTGCCTGAGAGAAGAGATGCCTCTAGCTCCAGTGGGCTGGGAGCAAGAGGCAGAGCTGAAGCCCAAGGTCAGGAGGCTTTCACCTAGCCCCTAGAGCCTGGCACTTTGAACTTGGACTTCTAGCCTCCCAAACTGTAAGAGAATAAACTGTTTGTTAAAGCCATCTCATTTGTGGTATATTCTTGTCAGAGCGGCACTAGATAACCAGAACAATGTGTTCGTTGGATGCCTATCTTCTTTAGTGAAGTGTCTGTTCGTCTTCTGAACATTTTTTTAATTGAATAGTTTGTCTTTTAGTTGTTTAAGTGTTGGAGTTTTCTATAAATTTTAGAGATAAGTCCTTTGTCAGATAGGTCATTGCCAATTATTTTTTCCCAATATGTAGGTTCTCTTTTGACTCTTTTGGAGAAGTTTTTGGAAGCACATAAAAATTTTAATTTTTAGAAGGTCCCATTCATCTAGTTTATCTTCAGCTGTTTGTGCATTTTGAGTTATGCTTGACAGTCTATTTATGCCATAAATTAAGGCCCCTAAAATTTGTTCCTATTTTCTGCTTGAGGAACTTCATAGTTTTAGGTTTCACATTTAAGTCTTTGATCCAGCACCATTTGTTAAATAGACATCTCTTCCCCATGTAACATATTTCAGTCCTTTGTCAAAAATCAGCTGACCATAGGTTAATGGATCTATTTCTGGATTGTCAAGTCTGTTCCACTGGTTTATATGTCTGTTGTTGTACCAGTACCAGGCTGTTTTGACTACTCTGGCTGTACAGTAGGTTTTGAGATCCAGAAGTGTGAGACCTCCTACTGTGTTCTTCTTCCTCAATAGTGCTTTGTTTATCCGAGGTCTCTTTACTTTCCATATAAAACTAGGGATTGTTTTTTCCATATCCTTAAAGAATGTTGATGGGATCTGGATTGGAATTGCATTGAATGTATAGATTGCTTTGGGTAGTTTTGATATTTTCACAGTGTTCAGTCTTCCTATCCATTTCTGTAGATCTCTTATGGTTTCTTGAAGTAGTCTTTTTTGTTTTCTTTTTATATGTCTTTTGTGTCTCTGATATGATTTATTCCCAAGTATTTTATTTTTTCGGTAGCTACTGTAAATGACATTGATTTCCT